ATAATTCAATTTTTTTGAAAATACTTGAGCTATACTTATTTTATAATTTTCTTTTGATTTTTATCTTGATATCTTGCTTTTATTTATCTCTTCTATCATAATAGATTATATTCTGATTATTTATATATTTTTCTTGTCTGAAAAATATAAATAGTGGATGCCTTTTACTTAAAATAAGTCAAGTATATTTTATTTAATTTAGGAGATTCTTGTAAACTTTTCCATATATAAAAGCTTTATTTTATTTTTTGTATATACCCTTTGTTTATCTAATAGTTGAAAAGATACTATTAAAGAATTTAGTCAGTATACTAAATCTTTTGTTTTTGTTATAGTATTTGTTACTTTAGTTTTTGATACCTATCTTTAGTTTAGTTTTTGTGATTACAACTTTATTTTTATTTTATTTTATTTTTGTCTTGCATTGATACAATACTTATAAGTATTGATATTTGAAAATCTTTAGAATAATAATAATCTTCTTTACCTTTATAAATAATTCAATCTTCACTCTCAAAACTTATTATAGACTATATTTCTGGTAAAATCTATCTTTATAAATATAGTTTGTAATAATAATTAAAATAAAAAAATTGATTTCTTTATATATTACATAATAAAATTAATTTGAATTAAAAGAAATTTCCTTTTAAAAATTTTAATAATTAAAAATTAGTATCTAAATTAACTCAAGCAATTAAGTTCAAAATTTATTCAAAATATTTGTTCAAATATTTGAAAAATCTATTTAAATTATATAAAAGATTAAAATCTCTATTAACAATAATTAAAAAATTATATTATATATTATTAAATTTTGATTATTTATATTTTCTTCTTTGACTTGTATTATTTCTTAATTTATTTGGATATTGATTTAATTAATCTTTCATAAAATCAATACAATCAAATCTCTCTAGTTATCATACTTGGAAAAATATAGAACTGAATGTAAAATGTTTTGACAAGGCATTGGAATAAATAAAATTGTTAAATATTGTTGCTAAAATTAAAAAAATATAAGTTGTTTCAAATTTTTTTGTTTGAAACTTTGAAACCCGTCATTTTTTCTCTGTCTATTTCAAAAGTGAGCCACCACGTTTATCGTAAATTGCTGACAATGATGACGATTTTATGACGTCACCTTTATAAATGCCGTGTATTTATCATACAAATTTTTTGCCGATCGCAAACTTATAAAATCCAAAGCGCGAAGCCTCCTCGATCAGGTCAGTTTTTTTAAAAATTTTTATGAATATACTTTAAAGTCTACACAGTTTAGATAGTGGAATCTCATTTGCAGTTTCAAGGATGTATAAATTGCGTGTCAAAGTAGGCCACTCGTATGATCCTTCAACTCACATTCACATAGTACCAAATGACGACCAACGCCCAGTGTACATCGACACACCACATTTCACTGGTCGTATTTGTGTTCGTGTGCGTGACTTTAATGGATTTGCGCCGGAAGGTAAAGAACGTATCGCGTATAGTCGATACTTTGATGGGAATTCGGATCAATATTCGATACAGGTGCAAGGAAGATTTAAAGGCTCTTGGACTGGAGATGACGTTGTATTTGGGGTAACCACATGAATCATCACCTTTATGCTATGTTTTCTTTTTTTGATCCTCTTCATGTTAATAATTTATTACAATTTAAATTATCGTTAACATTACAAGAATGACTTTGATCATAAAATAGAATTACCACCACTTTCTTGGCTTGGACTAAAAATACTACAAATCATTGATCCTGCGTTAGAAGCAGACATCTACGGTGACAAACCATGGGCATATTCACCGATCCTAGTCACAATGAACACGATCCGTGTCTCAGAAGCACCAATCGAACTTGATAAAGATGATTCATCTCGTGATCGTGTACTACCCAGTTGGCCATCAAGTGACGGATCACATGTTAAAGAGGGTGAACTTGTATCTTTTGATCCAACCAAACGACGGAAATATTTCTCAAAAAAGGAGAGACGGGTCGAGTTCCAAATTAAGGAGAGCCAAGTCTGGGATATTGATTTCTTTAATTCGTATGCTGATTTCAATAATTTTGCTGTGAAATTACCGGGATTCAGTATTAGTCTCGCCCCATTCTGGAAAAGACAAGTTTGTTACTTTTATTTTAAATTTAATTAATGGTCTAGTGTTATGGTGATGTTAAATTCTATTTCTCTTTCCTTTTTCAAAGCCTCTTCCTTTTAGATATGTTTGCAAGACACGTGATTCTTCAGCAGTGTTCTTTGTAGTAATATTCGATGTGACTTATATTGAAGATGTGAATGATAATAAATCAGGGAAGGGTGATAAAAACCAAGATTTGCAAATGGAAAATATCGAAACTGATGACTCATTGAAACCTCTACCTGATTCAATTGAAAATAATAACCACCACCAAGAACTTGTTTCAGAAAATAGTAACAAAGACAGCCAAGAACTTTTTAAAACAACTCAACAAACACAATCTCCAAAATCCACAGCAACAAAAACAAATATATTCCAAAGGGGCACTCGAGGATTAAGTTCCATATTTCGCTCTAATTCTCAACCTACAGCTATTGACGCTGCTCAAAGTAATACAAACATATTATCAACATCATCATCGTCGTCACCGAAAGAATCAGTTTTAGAGTCTAAAGAAAATAACGACACAAAGCAGCAAAAAAGTGAAAACCCCAAAGATGAAAAAAGGTATCGCTGGCGTTACTTCAAAGCTTTCTAGGAAATCGTTGTCTTTCCATTTTAATAATTACAAGATTAAAAATTAATGTAAACCAACGATGCTATACTGAAAGAAAGAAATTCAGAAACAGTCGCCATGAAATAAATCAAAAACGATTCACCCACTTCCTCTTTTAGCATTATGAGTATGAGTGTTTCCCATATCTTATCAAAGTTTGAGGGGCGGTTTATATTTTTGTATCAGATCAAAATATCAATAATATTCAATGTGATTTGTATGAAAAAAATCCTGATACAATGAATTATTATTAGAATTAAAAAGCGACATTAGATGATCAAGTTAGTTAATTTCCAAGCTATATTACGGTCATATGCTATTAATGAAACATAGTCATTATTATTTTATATGAAATAAATTATTTCATTCATTTCTTTTTCATTACGTTATACTTTCTGATGCAATATCTCCGCGAACTTTATTGACCGGCATATCAAATCAGAAAAAATACTTTACATTTAAAAATAATAATATGATAGATCTTTTAAGGCCAATACAAAATCAGATTAAAATGTATATCCGCGTGTTTTCTTAGAGAGTAGCAAAAGTTGAGCTAAAAAATTAATGATTTATAAATTTTATATCGGATCTGATTAATATAAGTAAAAATATTAATATTATTATACTTGTGAAAATATCTGAATTCTGATTATATATAATTTTTATTTAAGTTATAAGCATATGAATTATCACATACTAATTCACAGATAATTAGATAATTTCATTCTGTTTAAAAAAATCTGCTTAATGACTTTATACAGTGACCATCAAAAGTAATGCAACGCTTAAATTTTTTAATTATAATTAGTAAAATACGGGTTTTTCCTTA